CTGGGGAATTCTGGGAGTTGAAGTCCACCCATCTTAAAGTTGCCACGGTTGAGAAACACTCTTCTAGACTATAACTCTAAGTCTCGCAGAAAAAGCCACAGTATCTTTCCCAGAAGGTAAATGTTTGGTATATTTGGGGAGCTTTTAATGGCTGTTTGGAAAATGCTGGTTATAGTGGGGCTACTTAAGAACTACAGACCTCAACTGTACTTTGTACATCACGCAAGTGTGCTAAAACATTCACGAGAGCTCCAAGGAAACTGACTTGTGAGATCTTCAGACCAGTCACAAGCTACTTCCCTGAACCGTTTCACAACATTTTCATCTGGCGAATAATCAGACTATTCGATTCTCTACCATTTTCCGCCTGAAGCCAGCCATTTTTTATAAGAGGCGTTCAGCTAATTTTTGCTGTTCTTATTTTAATGGTCAGCCGCCCAGAGTCATGGGTACGAGATGGGCGGCCATATAAAGTTATTGAATAAATAAACTACATTCACTCTTACACCTTCAGCAACTTGTAGACCGGCTGACAATGGAACTCAGTGCAAATGCTCGCTTCTTTGAAAAGAAGGCCAGATACAGGCTGGGGAAATGGCTTTGTGTCATCAGCACCATTTTAGTTCACAGCAAGTCCCCAAAAACGCCATTTCCGTCCCAAAGGGTTCAGGAGCACGAGCTGGTTGGCCTTGGCTGGGAAAGCTCTGGATTTGGAAATGGTTTCGGGTCAGATACAGGTAGAAACCAGCAGTTCCAATGAGGAATTCATGCCAATTTTCAGAGGGTTCTGGAGACCCTTTTCTCCGTGGATTTCAACAGGACCTGAAAAACGACTGTCCTCTGGCCGGACCCGGCTTGCAATGCGAGAGAGGTGTAAACTATGAATTAAATACAGCCGCAGCTGTATTTCTCTCAGAACATTTGAGAACCAAGGTTTGGCATGTCGTGTGAGTCTTCTGGTTTTTTATAAGAGGATTTTTAAATGGGGAGAAAAAAAACATGTTTAGAAAGGGACCCCCCGCTCCAGCTAAAAAGAGCTGGACAAGAGTTTCCATTTTATTTTAAGCTAAGTTCGGTTCGGTTCGGTTCAGTTGCCCCCTCTTCTTCCTTTTTTCCCCTTACCAGACCCGGGAGTCCCCGCTGGTCCAAAGCGGACTTCTTACCCCACGACGCCTCCGCCTCCGCCTCCGCCTCCGCCTCGCT